AAAAAGATTTTTCATTCTGCAAACCTCCCCAAAACAGGAGGAAAACGGCCCTGTTTTTTTTTTCAAAACAAAAAGGCATGAATAGCCTTGGGGGGGCTTGCAGAGTGATCCTGGGGGTGGGAGGGTGGGGGCAAAAACAAGCAAAAAAGGCCCATTTTCTGCAAAAACGGGCCTGTTTTTTGTCAACAAAATTGCATGCATAGCCTTATGGAGGCTTATAGAGTTCTGCTGGGGGCTGGGGGGGGGAACGGCCCATTTTTTGCTCATTTTTGCCCTCCCCAGTCCCCAGGAGCTCTCTGAACACCTCCATAAGGCTATGCACGGCCATTTTGGTGAACAGGGCGGGGCTTCAGGAGGCAGAAAATGCTGTATTCAATGTATAAGACGCACCCAGATTTTCAGCCTCTTTTTTGAGGAAAAAAGGTGTATCTTACACTCCCAAAAATATGGTACTTTCTCCTGGGAACTAAGGACATTCTCACACCTGGTCAGAGAGAGAGGAGGAGTGATGTTATTAGGCAACTGGATGGCACCTTGATTGGACCATATAACTGTTTGGGGAACGGGAAAAACTTTTACTTTTAATTAAGTGAAAGAATTGGGATTATTCTTGTAAAAGAGAAGAACCTGAGCAACTCCATTTTTACACTTAATACACTTTACATAACACAAGATGAAAACCACAGGAACATTCAGAGTCGGTTTTCACCAGCCTGTGTCAATATGATATATCCAGTAAAACTATTATTTGAGGAATTTATCTGGCTCGGAGTTCTGTGTGCTATGGGTGTATTTCTTGGAACCCTGACACATTGCTTGTAGGTGCCTTCATTGGGGATGGTTTGAATATTTGTTTTCAGGTATGCCGTGAGTGTTATTTGGGAGCTGGACAAGGCCTCTTATGAAATAAAGAGAGTCCGGTACAAGAGAACCATCATTCGCTCTTCTTACAAACTCTTTTACGAGGCCGCCCAGGCTTTGCTAGAGGGAGACCTGACAGCTGCCGCGGAAATCCAGGAGCTCAAAGCCATGGAGGAAAACACACGGCGACAGAAGTTAGAGGAACTGACGTGGGCCATCGGGAAGTTAACTGATGTTGCCCGCCATCTCCGAGCCAAACGCAGCAGCTACGGAGCCCTGGAGCTGGAAGGGGTGGAAATCAGGGTTCAGCTGGACGACAAGAAGAACATTGATGACCTTATCCCCCGCCAGCCACTGGAAGTTCACGAGACGATCGCCGAGTGCATGATCCTGGCAAACCACTGGGTGGCCAGGAGGATTTGGGAGGTGTTCCCCTACCAGGCGCTGCTTCGTCAGCACCCGCCGCCCCGGCAGGAGTTTTTTTCCGAGGTCCGAGAATGTGCTGCTGCAAAAGGCTTTTCGATTGACACACGGTAAGTTGATATATTATTTATTTAGTGCATGGCAGGGCTGTCAAACTCCCAGCCCATGGGCTGAATGCATCATGCACTGGCCATGATCTTAATTGTATCCCTCTGTTAATGCAACTTAGCATTGCATTGGCTTGTTTGGATGCCACTGCACACTCTTGACTTTATTATACCAGGGGTGAAATCCAGCAGGTTCTGACAGGTTCTGAAATTTTGAGTAGTTTGGAGAACTGGCAAATGCCCCTCTTGCTGGCCCCAGAGTGAAGTGGTAATGGGGATTTTGCAGTATCCTTCCCCTGAAGTGGGGAGGGAATGGGGATTTTGCAATATCCTTTCCCTGTCACGCTCACCAGGCCACACCCACCAAGCCATACCACGGCCACCAAGCCACACCCACAGAACCGGTAGTAAAAAAAATGAATTTCACCACTATATTATACACTATATTGCCAAAAGTATTCGCTCTCCTGTCTTTCCTCTCATATGAACTTACTGTAAGTGACATCTTATTCCTAATCCATAGGGTTCAATATGACGTCGGTCCACCCTTTGCAGCTATAACAGCTTCACCTCTTCTGGGAAGGCTGTCCACAAGGTTCAGGAGTGTGTTTATGGGGATTTTTGACCATTCTTCCAGAAGCGCATTTGTGAGGTCACACACTGATGTTGGACGAGTTTATGTGGTCTATCACTTCGTGGCTGAGTTGCTGTA